ATTAAGTCATTATCTAAAGTTAACTTCATTTTAAGATCTACTAAACATGAAATTCTATGTAAGAGTTCTAGTTATCCTAAAGGGAAGGGATTAAGCATCCTTTAAGATCCGTTAAAGACAGTTACCGATCAAACTTAGGTTAATTAAATAATTTTCAGAGAACAGTATATCATAAATTAGAACTAAGTGCATATCAACATTGAGATAGAATGACAATGCCTAAGATTAAAAGAAACAAACTTTAAGTAAAAATTCAAATGAGCGTATAGGAATATATAAAAAGATACATTTTTAGGGAAAGTACTTTTTTTTTAATCTTAGTTTAACAAAAATTTCTAAAGAACAAAGTGATTAAAGTTTCAGAAGCTTTAACAACCATTATTTGCTAAAAAAAATATACCTATCATCATAAACTTGTTCGTAAAAAAAAAAAGTAACAGGGCTTAAAAAGAAAACATATTTTTTATTTTAAACAACCTATGTTTTGTACAAAAATCTGCACTTTGAACTTTTAATGAAAGTCGTATTTTACTCACCAAAAATCTGCATTTTTTGCTATTTAGAAAGGCTGTAAAAACCCTAAAAAAAATCTTTTTTTTGCTACAAATATGCACTTTTATACTCGAAGATGTACACTTTTTCAGCTATCAAGAAACAACATTTTTGACACCAAAATTTGTACATTAGAAGCTCAAAGACTTCTCTTTTATAGTCTATAAAACACCCTTTCTTTTGGCACCAAAATCTGTCATTAGAAGTTGCCATGATAGCAAAATTATAACTTAAAGATATTTGTTAATGTAAATAATTTGCAAATTTTTTTTTTTTCTCTTCCTTCCATTTTTGTGGAAAGTTGAGACCTGAAATATTCTCAATTATGATTGACAAGAAAAAAAAAACTGATATTTTACGCTACTCTAAACAATATCGAAATTTATTCTTAAAGGATCTGGGAGGCTAAATGGTCTGTCTCAATATAGCTTACACCTAAACTATCTTATATAAAAAAGAGGA